TAGCTATATATAGGTGGTACAAAAGTAGTAGGAAAACCATACTGAGAAGGTAATCATCAAAGGTTTATTGCTAAAATGGAAGCCTGCACCGAGGCAGCGTTTTGCACTGGTTGCATTCCTATTTAACCTATTTTCATTATGTCCTGGACAGAATGTATTTTCATTATGACTCAAGAATCTAAGAGAGAGTATGCATATTAGATTTACAACTGACACTAATCTGGGAAGGTTTGTAAAATAATTGAGAACAAACTTGGATTAAGAAAAAAAGATGTAAAAATGTAACAGAGAACAAAACAGAACACACTAGTCATTATCATAACCCATGTTGCATCCACATACTGAATACCACACATAATTCTACTCCCCATCTTCAAAAGGGATACAGTAGAACTAGAAAAGGTTCAGAGCAAGTTGGCACAGATGACCAAAAATATGGGATGTGCTTGTATGAAGCCTTTTTACAGACAGGGGAAGACTTTTCAGTCTGAAAAAGAACTGGCTGAGGAAGGATGTATCTGTGACCTGTAAAATTCTGAGTGGCATGAAAAAGATGAATAGCGAATGATTATTTATCCTCTTTCAAAGAAAAATATTTTAGACAATGTCACGTTGACAGGTTAAGTTAAATCATTTAATAAGCTCTATGACCCTAATTAATTAAACTTACGCATACTATTGATCCCTCTAATCAATCCAGTTAAAGACTAAAGCACGTGTTTGTACACAAAGTGCCCTGCTGAAGTGAGCTTTAACAATGCAGCTAAGCAGAATGCTGGGATCAGTCAGAACTCGGTGACCATTATGTAGCTGGTAAGCAGAAAAGGTCTGTAAACTCACCTGCTTGGTGTTTTTGAGGTAACTGTTATATTGCCCAAGATAAATAGTGTTCACGCACTGTTACCTGTGTTTGTCTTTGAGTGTTTGTTTAGTGCTTCACAGATGAGGCTCTTGTTAGCAAATCCTTCCTTTGCAAAACGTCCACTCCTAAAAGACAAGCTCACGGTATTTTGCACAACATGTAACAGGAAAAATATTCATCCTTCATCTTTGTTTCTTCCTCATTAGGAAATACTCAGGAAAACTTTGGGGAAAAAAATAAGATTTAACATCATTGTATTTATTAGGTTCCGAAACAATACACATTCACATCCTTTTGAATACAGTACATTTGGCACAGTAATAATGTTTACGATGAAATAACACTAATGAATGGCAAGAGATTCAAATTACATCCATAAGAAAAAAAATTCTGTACAAATAAATCCTCACAATAAAAAAAAAACCCTACCCCCCCAACTGAATACATTTTATAGTTAGCCAGAACTATTCTGCATATAATTTAAGAAGAGGTAATTTGTAAGCCTTTTTTGGAGAGAATTATTTTTCACCCTATGGAGAAAAATGTGTTTCCATTTTTTTATAAAGTCTATTTGGGAGGAAAAACAAGAAACAATGGATTTTTTATAATTATTATTATTATTATTAATAATCTTTTTGGCATTTTGCACTCATTTTACAAAGAAGGAACAGGAAAGATTTTACAGAACAGGCAGAAATGTAACAGAATGTCCATTTTTAAGAATTATCTTTAAAAAATGTTCAAGGTAACAGACAAACCTTCTGACGTAAACCCAATGCAGAGGATCTAACTATTTATATTGAAGAAATATCTGCCCATGCAAAAGTTTTTATCTCCTTGACTTTTCTCTTAGCATCCTACCAAACATTGCAGGTGCCGAGGCCTCTTGAAATACAAACGTTTGCTAATTATCTTCGTGTTAGAAACAGGAATACAGACTACGTAGCTTGCTTACAAAAGCTTTATGGGATGCTTTTATTCTTTCAAAATAAATGCTCAGTTTTGTGTAAAGGCCTCTTGTTGTACAAACAGTAGTGCACTCTCCGATAACTTGTCTTCCTAGCCAGTCTACTCACCTATGGAAAAGAACGCTTTAGCATTGTGATCAGTTCTTGCCTGGATGTCAAAAGCTAACCGTGATGAGAAATAAACAGAGCCAGTGGCGAGACACAAATTGATGGGCAGTTCTACAATATATTTCTAAAAGAGAAAGAAATTTAAACATTGAGATGATGCAATCATTAAGATGTTTCTGTGCTGGTACTCAGCTCCAGAAGCTAGTCTTTTCCCAGTACAAAAGATTACTGAAGATAAATTAAATTAAACTAAAGGCTTGATCCATTATTACACCTGTAGGCCAGACAACACATTAATTGATATATCATAATATTTAATATTTTGAAATCATCATAAGAATATATATAATAATTACACCTGAGTTTTAAAAACAAAACAAAATGGAACTGAATGTTGGCATCAGTAACAGGCTATGAGCAGCCAGACGCAAAACTGACACAAACTAACTCATCTGCTTGAGACCGAGATTCTCTCTTAAAGCCAATGATTCACACTTTGTCCACCACGATTTGTAACATTCCTTTCTCTTTCCGAGCTCTATCATGTCATAATAGAGTTGAAGAGAACTATACAAGAGATTTAGTATAGCTTAATATATGTCTACATCTTTTATAACAAAAACCTCATCTCTCTGACAGTAACTTGAACCAATACACATACAAGAGTATTGCACATGGACATTATTATAATTATTCTTTCATAGACTAACATTTTAATAGTATGCCTGAACATGCAGCAGTTGATACCTCTATATTCAATGAATTCCACAGGCCTTGCAGCAAACACTATATACAAAATCTCACCTGTACAAAAGGCAAAAAAGCTTCTTTAGTGCCACTTTGCCAATCACAAGTATATATATTTTTGTGCAGCTGGAAATCCATGTGCAACAATTAAAATGGATTCCAATGACCGCTCACTCAGTCCAGTAAAATATATAATAAAATGACCTCAGCGATACATGTACACAAAAAACCCCCCCAAAACAAAACCCAAACCAAACCACAGGGTACTCCTGGAAATATAAGTACATAACACTGTTAGCGTATCTACAGGAGGTAACTTCACATTAGTAATATTGTCCACATGAGTTACCATTTCAATTAATACACAAAAAAATTCCATTTACAACTTTCAGTAATGTCAGTTTGTGAATGTTTGATCTTCCGTTTTTTAAACACTTCCACATAATGCAGGTGTAGCCTTATTTTGTGTCTTCAAAAAGCAGATTTCTCTTTAGATTTTAAACATAAAAAACAACAAACACAGTAGTATTATGGTTTTGTAAAAGTGTGCAAAAGTAACACACTGCTGAGAAAATAAATATAAATAAGAAATTATTTATCAACTTAGCTACAATGGAAAAGCCAAATTTATAATGTTTATAATTAATTTTTTATGTAAAATTAACTGTAAACATTTTCAAGCTTGCCATTATATTAATGGTTCATTTAAATGGATATTAAATTTGGTAACATGGATAGTATACCCAATTGCCTGAAAAACAGCAAAATGCCTATATATAGCTGTGTTGAAGTACTATAGGCTTTTTATTCGTTAGCCCTTTAATAACTATCCATATAGTATCTATTTTCTGCTTTAAATAGAATTTCAGTTATCTTTGTGACTCTTCTTATTCCTAAGAGTTTTCCATAAATTGTATGAGGAACTTCATTGAAAGCCTTAATTGATGTGCTTCTTTTTCCGGACAGCTTTATTTCAAGTCTGTACCTCACCACAATAAATTCGTAATTGAGGATTACACCTCCACAAAGGCAGACTTCTTTGCTTACCAAAGGGCAACATGTTACTTATTTGTTCCACATCTGAGTGCAGATCTCACCATAACCACCAGTGCAGAAGAAACAGTTCCTACCTTCTTAGCTTAAATATATATGATGATTACAGAACGTGATCTGCTAAATCACTTTTAAGAGCACGCCTTCATTTTCCATGGAAAAGATGCAATTTTGTCCTCTGGGGAGATCTTAGGAATAAAAGAAAAGTTGCAAATATATGGCAGTGTGTTACATCTACAATTTCTGATACAAAATTATTTTGCATTGCTTTGTGAGACAGAAATTAAGAGTGCTTTCAGGTCAGAAGATTAAAGGAAAAAAACAATAAATATATACTTTAATTGGGGATATGGGCTCAGGGTAAGAAAAGCAGTTCTTGATCTACTGAGTCTCAGTAATTTGACAATCTCTTCAGAATCACTTCTTGCAGCATCATTCATCTGTCAGCCTAATGTTGTCTATGGCAGTAGTTCTTCTCCAAAATAAGAGAACCCTTTAAATTCTTCTTGATTGATTTGTTTTATAATTGTCTCATCCACTAGCGTTAATACTGGTTCCTCTCGTGTAAAGTCTTGATCAAAGTTATTTACATCCCTTTTGGTTTTCTGAGAAGAAAAATACAAATAAGGTGAATGGTAAAACAGCACAGTAAAATAAAAGCTGCTCTTCCTCCTCTCCCCGCACCCCCCCCACCCCCCGCCAAGGCTGAATTTTCTGCAATGATTGAAATAAAAGAGGAGCTACTTCACACAAAGAATAACAGACGTATGAGAGAAGCTACAGGAGCAAGTACTGTAAATGAGTTCAGGAGAGGCCACAGAAGCAGTACTATAAATGAGTTCCCAGAGACTCACGGGTCTCTGACAGGCGAAGGAATAGCAGTATGATGATAAAGCAGGAAGCTGAGATTAGGACTAGTTTAAAAAAGGCTTTGGCATAGTAGGTGGTACAGCTGTTTCCTCTTAGATTTGAACATAATGATATCTCATTTCAGTGGCACAGAGTGAACTGATTTAATTGATTTCCCCACAATATAGCCTACTGTTTCAACTGTAAGTTAACTATTTCTTTGTATCTGGCTACACTCAGCTTTAAAATCAGATGTAGATCTCGCAACAGCTCTCAGTCTGAAATCCTTGAGCTCCACATTGGCAACTCAGATTTCCTAATGCAGCCAAATGTCATTCAGAGCACCCCGGCAAACTGTGAAAATCTGGCTCCAGAGAAATCCACCTCCGGACTCTTCTTTATTTCAATGGCATCAGGATTTCCCCACTGAAGTCTAAAGCACCTCGCTCTTTCAGCGAGGTTGGGCCAACAAAGTGCAACTGTACATGCTGTGGTTGGGATAAGGCATATTAACTAGAGACAGCCTTGGGGAGGCCGACTTGTTGTCCTCAGGGCACTCACGACAGTGACCATCTGGGTCCACCTACATGTAAAAAAACTTACGGCTACAGGGGAAAACATTCCCCATTGTCATTCCCTTGAGACCTGCACTGTTCATGTTTTCCATGTTAGCAGCGTATTTCAGGCATGTACAGGTTCATGGAACTGCAACAAGCATTTTCCTTTACACTGTCTCTTTTCTCTTTGTTTCATGAAATCTAATAGTTACCTGAGTGATACTTAATGGAGGCACACTGACACATTGAAAACTAGCTTTGTGTCCATCCTGCACATGTCTGAGATGAAGATTATACCAGAAACAGAACAGCTATTTGACTTGCAAAGTAAAATGATAAAATCATAAAGTGATACATCATAAAGTACATTAATGTATTCCAAATGGGATATATGCCTTCCTTCAATGTAGGTAAATTTTACTATAAAATATATATATAAATGTATTTTCTTCATCAGCTCTACTGAGGCACTAAAACCAAATAGTTTTCTTTCTCACAATTGTAAATGGTCGTAGCAACCTTAACCTACATTGTTTGTAAGAACTTTATAGATACAGGGAAAAAAAGGTCTATATAAATGCACGAGACTGTCACTTGTAAACCAAGTACTTTCTAAGTGCAGGCAACCAAAAATCCACATCCTCTATCTACAAAACTCCATTAAAAGCAAAGGAATATGGACTTAACAAGCATACATATATATGCGCTTATATTGTTTACATTTGTAATATTTACTTCGTACATAAAGACTGGACATAAAGTGTATGTGACCTGTATACTCTGAACTGCATAAAGCGTGAGGGACATGGCTTTGGGCTTTTATGTTTTCTCCTAGTCATTTGGGCAAATACTGCAAAATAAGAATGAAATTCCGTATGAATTTTTAAATGTATTACATTGCAACTTCGTCTACGTTCTTCTTGTTCCCCATGTTGTACCGTAGTATTTTCACACACTCTCACAATGAATTTGCTACCGGCATAGTCACTAAAGCAGGAGGTAAGTGAATATTTGTAGAAAGTAGAATTCAAATTCAGAACTGTAGTTATGTGCAAGGGAAACGTGACTACACTCACACTTTAACCACTAGCTATCCAGGGCAAATAAGGTCTGGACTAGCTGAGAACAAATACAATATATATTATTTTCAGGTTTTCATACTGAACGTATAAGTGTTATTTCATTGCTGAAGCTAAAAGAATAAGATGACAAATTCCTCAAAGCCTATCAGGGGCATTTAATTCCCAATAGCTACTTTTTCCAGAAAACCATCACTAAGACTTGTGAAGGTGTTAGGTGAAAAAGAGTGCAGATGAGTACATCTGAAAAACTGTCCCAACACTGGTGTACCTAGATCCTATTGATTAAAAATAATTGTACTTCCAGTAGAACTTCAAATCCCAAACACTTCCGAAACGACAACCAAAGGTATTTGCTTAGATTTAAAAGCCTAGCATGTCTTAAAATATGCCTTCAAGACCAAAGAAGGAAATAGAAGTTTCTACTTTCTCAGAAAACAATTCCATGTCTTTTTGGCAACATAGATGTAAATCACCCGATTTATTAACAGGACAAGTATGGAGCAATCTAAGATTGAAAGGATACGCTAGCAAGCCTCTAACTAACCAGTTGACGAAGTGAGATTAAATAAATCACAGGGAACAAAAGTGAGTGGATTAAGCCATAGAAGACAAAAGGTAGAGTTCATAATAAGTGCTTCTTTTCAAAAGAAAGATTTATTTGAGAAACCCTCCTTAGCAACTTAGGTACTTTCTTCCTGAAGCAATGACTATTTTGCAAGGCCCCATCTGCTAAGACGAAACAGGTCTGGCCACATTTCTGCTACTATTGCTATTTTAATGTACTTGCACTGTGAATACTCTATAGGCCAACAGCATGAACCAATATATAGTTGTAGCATGAGGGCTCAGGATGAAGGTATGAAGGGCTGTGGCTGTCTCCTAGCAGAGAAGCTGAGAAAAGAAAGATCCGCAAGGTAAGGAGAGTATATGAAGGAAACAGAGTGCAGCTATTATCCACCTTTGAACATCAAAAAAATCACGAAGAAAAATGGAAAAATCTTTAGATTAGCTGCAAATGCATCATTAAAAATGCAGTAATTAAATGGGTGGCATTCTGTTTATTTAGCCTGCAGCTTCTGAGACTTTGGGATACATTATTTTTAACTTTTCAAACTTTTTTCCAGGTAAGACTTCTCAACTTCAGATGACTGAAGAAACTAGGGTTATTAGGAAAAAAAGAACCCCCAAAACCACAACTGTCCACCCAAACACACAGAAATTCGACTAGGTTTCAGATGCTTTTTTTTTTTCGCTCTACACTACCCAAACACCTTGTGTTCAGCATGCATCAATGCTACATGAGAGCAGGGGCACAGCGGCTACCCAAGAGCTTCCAACAATAGGTGCCAAATTCCACACTACACTGAAACTGCTCTACTGCAGGCAGCATGTGGGCAGTCCGTCTCCGTCTGACAAAGAGCAGCAGCAGCGCCACAGCACTTTTAGTGACTAAAAATGACATGACTCCAATTCTAAACCTCATCTGAAAGATGGCTTCTCCACCAGCACGGTATCTCTGATAGTGAGAAGGAATAGTGACTCACTACCTCTTGCGCAGAAAACGTGCCGGCTAGATGATCTTTTATTTTTTCCAGCAGTGTGAATGCTTCATAGGTCTCCTGTCTGAGCACTGACCTAGTGTGACCTGCTTATCCTGGGAGACATGGTGGACCTGCTTCATGCCGGTGATATGATCTGATTAAATGTAACACTTCTGCTACAGAAATAGAACCCCTTGAATTAATAAATATTAACATGACCTACTACCCATCGAGGATGACAATTTTTAAGTCAAAGTCGTGTTTTATTCTATTCAAAGATTACTGCTTCTGTTTGAAGAGCTAAAGACATTGGAAATTTTAAAAGACTAGCTCTTCATAAAACACCATTTAATCAGCTTTCCTAGTTGGACCATACAACTTCAGACAAAGGAATATTGTCTTATGAGTCAAAATACTTTTTTTCTTAAATCTCTTCACATAATTACTAAAATATTAAAAGAACTTCATATGCTATTAATAAGCACACATTAAACAGTGGTTTTCTGAACTGGGTTTATTTTCACTACCATTTCCATGAAAAATTAATTTTCTATGTGCAGTCACAGACTCAAGCTTAAAAAAACCTCCAAAACATGCTTAATAAGCTTTCCAGTGTCAAGAACTACCAACCTTGTCTGTTAATGATTACTAAATGACACTATATGAATTGCAACAGTGAAAAAAAGAAATCTAAGTTGATGTCCTTATCACTGAAAATACATTAAGAAAGTTAGAACTTGCCATTCCTTCCATTAATCACACGAACCAAATGTGAGCGCCAGGAGCCTTTGGTATTGAAAAGCCACAGAAATCTTTTCAAGAAGGCACCTGACAGAGGATGTTCCAAACCAGGGAACTCAGCAAAGCTTGGGCACCTCATCAGCTGTGTCATGAGGCCAAGATGCCCAGTGGACTCTCTTCCGCCTAACAAGGATTAAATTAATTCTCCAGCTTGGAGGCATTAAGAGGCATCTGTCTCTAATCCATTATTTATTTTCATTTAATTTGAAAGAGTTTTGGTGATTTTCTGCTAGTCCTTTACAAGCTTAATGGCTCCACTAAATTGGGCTGGAACTGCCCAGCGGGTTCAAAGCCTACTTAGAGGAGGTGAAAGAAAGATGGAGGTGGTGGCTAGAAAACAATGCGGCCACAAAAGCCTAGGTTTTCTATTTTAGTCTGATTTTCCTACAGATTCACAATATGCTGTTTAAATATAACTGTAGGAATCCTCTTTAAATCAATTAATAGATTTCTGTTTAGACTAGTAGAAAGAGGAGCTAATCGAGAACACACAGCCAATACAAGTGAGGCCAGAAATGATCATTAGAACAGTGAACCAGTATGTTGGAAGAAAAAATTATTGTGTTATGATATCTTTCATTAAGTGGACCTTTTGGCACAAAATGTATACAAAGCTCATCCATGATTTTCACAGTCTGAGATACTGTCAGCACGGAAATGCAGATGCAGATTGGCCTTTCTATATCACTGAATGAAACATCTTTAACTTTACTCCACTGCAATTTTCTGTCAATAGCAATGCCTGATGCCTCTTCATATATTTTCAAGCCCACAG